TAAAGCAAAAATCAAGCAAAACTCAGCATTTGATATCATCAAAAGCTGTATTTTTTAAACTATTTTTTAAAAAATGACATTGACATCTTTTAAAAGATTTGACAGGAGTTTGATCAAATAGTAGATATATATATGTGCGTGTATATATGTGTATATATATACACACACTACACCACACACACACACACACATATATTTATATATTTACTCCTTCTGAAGGAAAAACTCTCATTCAGAAGCTGTATTCCATTTGCAGAATGCCAAAACACAAATCTCCACATCAGTGTCAAGGTTGCAGTTTTATTGGCAATTCTGCCATGCTGATCTGGGAAGGAGAAAGCAGCAGAGGTGCTTGCAACCCTGCTCTTTTTATTTTTATAAAAAATAAAAAGAGCAAGCTTGCAAGCACCTCTGCTGCTTTGGTATTCTGCAAATGGAATACAGCTTCTGAACGAGAGTTTTTCCTTCAGAAGGAGTAAATAGTCCAAAGGAGAGGAAAAGAAGTATAGTAGCCCAGCAAGACCGCTAGCACAACATAAAAAAGATTTAAGAGTTTTACATGCTGGATATTAACAGAAAAAGAAATCTCAGAGAGGGGACTTAAGGCAGAACAGGCTTAAGAAATAAAAAACACTGACATTCTAATAAAAGTATAGAACATTCTATACAGATAACAGAGTAACAGGCAGTATTGAATAGTAATAATAACAATTATCATAGTAATGGTAAAGAGAAAGCAATAGAACATTGGAAACACTCCCATATTTTATTTACAAATAAAACATCTTTCCAACCTTCAAGAGAAATATAAAGAAATTACTTGCCCAGTGTCAAGTGTTTTTGTGGCTTTCTTGAATATGGTTCAATCTAATTAGGTACAGTTTTTGAAAAACCCATCATAGTTGGCCAGTAAACAGTGAGATATGGATTTTGAAAATAATTTGCAATAGAAAACTATCTGTAAAATCTAGTTCTACATTTTTATGCATGCATGAGAATATATAAACACTGTATATTTATCACAAGCACTTAAGGCTTGGCCAAATACCCATTTTTGGACCATTACAAATATGCAATAAGATATACCTCCTGCTAAACTTCGATGAACCAATGTTTCCTGGATTCACATGTTACAAGGCCCCTACTTCTCTTGCAGAATAAATACTGGTAAAACCTAAGTTCCTCAAGCACTGACAACATATCACTGCTGTTATCAAATAGTAATCACTTTGGCCAGAAATGAGAGGGAAATAAAACCAAAAACAATATTCATACAAAGTTTTTAACTCTCCACCCAGAAAAAAAAACAAGTATTGCCAGTTTTTCAAACCAAGAGCTAAGGACATTACAGATTAGGAGCCAAAAGGGGAACATGAGAGATGCCTCCTGCTGAGGTCATGTGATCCAATTTTAACAGGCAGCCATGCTGGTATAGCTGATCCCTTCTCTCTGCCTCAATTGGCTTTTTAGTCTCAGAAGAAAGCTTTTTCTTTCTGTTGCAAGGTATTTAGAACTAGAAAATGGTGTCGCAATAAAGCTGACCACCATCTGCTCACACCATCTGCTCACTTCATTTGCGACCAAGTCACTTTTAATAGTAACAACTTTAAATGAAAAAACAATTTACCATTTGTAAAAGTTGCCCATTTTGGTGCAACATCTGAAAGCAATCCCACATTTAGCAAAGCTTCCAGCAGTGAAAATAAATTTAAAATGAACTTTCCCACTGTTATTTTTTTAAAAACAATATCAAGTATCTCACGTTTTGAGTATCATTTCTAGTGTTGTAAGCAGTTATGATTTCCTGTTTGGGAGCAGGTGAAAGCGAGGGTTTTTTTTTTCACATAATCCTTGCATTGTTCTCCTCGTTGGGCTAATCTGACATCAGAATCTGCTCCCCCAAAGTTAAGAAGTGCCAAATTCATCTGAGAACTCCCCTGGCAGTAGTTGGGACATGAAATGACACCCCTGGGGCAAAGTTATCCTTAATTATGTAATTAAGAATTCTGGGATTTATGTTTCCAAGGTCAATTTACAAGATCCCTTCTGTGATTTTTTTCCCCCTCTTGGATAAGTGTTGCACCATTTCAGAAAATATAAAGTTTAAACTTTTACATGTTTACAGTATTAAGAGTAGAGAATGTCTTATACATAACTATTGTAAAAAAACAATAGTACATTTTAGTAATTTCATATCCATTATCCATTTCAATTTAAATCCTATTACAGGCATGATTATTATGACAGCCAATATCACTTTAACTACTGTAGCTATTTTTGGCAATAGACAAACACTATTAGTAAATATAAATACATATAAACTTTTAGATATCCTTCACTGCCAGGTATTCAAATAGATTACGAAGGACTTAAACTGAGTGTAATTCTACTTGCTAAGCCAGAATTGGGGAAGACCTAACCCATAAGCCGTGTTGCTATCCTGAGATTCAATTGGTGACTCAACAGTGTTTTTAAGACTGCACCTCGCACTGTGATTTTTTGCAGTACAATTTTTGAATTCTTTCACAAAAAAAGATGAAAATCTGAGGAGGAAGATTTTGGTAGGTAAACTGCTCCTATTTTCATCCTTAAAAAATTGCTTAGACCTCTCAAAGTCACTGCATTGAAGTATGGACTCAAGTTGCTTCGAGAATTTTTAAATGTGAAAGTGACATTTTCTCCTTAGGGGATTCAAGAAAATCAGAGTGAAAAATGTGGTTGTATCATCCAGTTGTTAAAAGGAAAACTGGCCATCCCCACCGTAGCAAAGGGTTAATTAGGATGTACATATCACACAGTACCCCTAATCACATCCATCCTATGTATCAGAAGTATACTTGTATGCAGTGCTTTTTTTCTTTAAAAAAAAAAAAAAGGTGCTGGAACTCACACATCATACAACCCGCCTTGCCTACCCTACAAGGTTCCATCCAAAAAAGGTGATGGAACTCCGTTCTGGGCGTTCTATGAGAAAAAAAGTCCTGCTTGTATGTTTGTCAAATCTGGGGGAAAATGAAATATGAAACCAAAGATTCTAGCAATAAAAACCAGGCCCATAGTAACTTATTTTGAATCATCTGATAAAATTCACAAAACTCTGCATTTCTGAATGCCTCAAATATAGCAATACCATAAGCAAATGAAGAAACAGGCTGTATTAATAAAAGCAATATTACAAATCCCCTTATTCAAGCATATGTAGTATTTTATCCAACCATTAATTCTAAAAGACAGTATAAGGCATGGATTTCTTTTTCTGTTCAATTTGGTCCAATTCCCAGGCTTTCATAAGTGTTTTGCTGTTGCCTCCTTCTTCTTAGACTTGAGAGAAAGTGATTAGCCCAAGGCTTTGTGACTAAGGTGGAACTCAAGTCTGTTTCTAGTCCGATGCCTTAACCACTATACCAAACTGGCTTTTATACCATACAACAAATATTTTAATGACAGAAAATACTAAAATAGAGCATAACACTTTAGTAAAAGGTGGTAAACATAATTATTCAGAATATTTGGAGACAAGGGGGCCAATGACTAGACATAATAAAATAGAAGACATCTGGGGGCAAATACAAGCATCGTAAACCTTCAGCCACTCTGCAACTGATTCTGTAAGTTTTCACTACCTGAACATTTACTCAGCCATCTTTCATGATGCATTGCAAGTAACTTGCTCTAATGAATGGGAAATCCAGGTCAACTCCCAGCATCCCATCATTACAGCCACCAAAACCAACTCAGCGAACTATGTTAAGATAGAGCGATAGAAGATGTTAAAAGGATTGCTTTTAACTTAGCCCACATTTTCTGCCTCTTAAAACTCTTAGCTGCATTTGCTATTTTTACTGTTTTAGGCAAACATCCTCAAGTGAGCAATTTAAATCAGGAAAGGATTGTTGAAGGATAAGAAATGAGGGGAGTATTCAGCCTTTTCCAGATCTCAATTCATCACCCTCTATTTATGTACAGTTAGGCTATATTTAATGCAAATATTTAAACCATTTCTTCCAAAACTCATCTGATTATATTTTCAAGAGGAGACTACAATATATAGCCATGATTTCTCTATTGGGCAATCAGAAAGTTGTTATATGCTGCCCTCAAATTACCACGAACCAATGTTTCTCACACCACGGATACTGCCCTGGTAGATGTAACTGGCTTTTCACTGATCAATAATTTCTTTTTCTCAAATAGAATTAGACATTAGTACAAACCACATTTGCTTTAATACAAGAGCTGTTTTGTTTATTATAAGGGGAAGTATTAACTGCAAGGATACAGCATCAGTTTTTACACAAAATGCTATATGGGTTAGTGCTAGATAAACTGCAAGAACCAAAAGGCAAAAATCAGGATAACTAGGCAAAAATCTAAGACATTTATAGCAAAGGAGGCAAACATCCCAAGTAAAATAGGGAGACAGCAAAACTGCCTTGATGGGTAATATTAAGGCCAAAAACATTTAGCTATAACCCAGCTAAGAATCTTCGAGACTTCCTCTTGATCTCCCTCTCAGTATAGGAAAAATGACATCATCCATTACGCTTTACACTTAAATTGACAATTTTAGAATATCTCCCTTAAATACGTTTCAATTTGCCAGTCTCAACAACTGCCTTAAGTGCCAGAATAACATTTTGCTATATTTCTCAAGATAAATGTGTAAATGACTACCCCGCTCCCCAATTTAGCAAGACCCAGAGGGTTTTGTTGCTGTTGTTCATTTGCTGCTCCAAACACACTTTCAAATATCCATTTGGTTTCTAGAGATGCATTGGCAGCTAAACAATACATGGAGCATATTAATTCTAATTGTAATCATAGCAAAGAATTGCATATGCATATAATACTATCTAATTCAAATCCAGGATCTGAATTCACTGTAGTTTAAGACTTATCCTTTTCTAGAATATACACTACAACAGAGGCCACAACAGAGACTATCTTGTCAAAAGTAGTACAAAGCACTTCAGTATAATGAAATAAAAGGACAAATCTACTTGTCTAAAAGACAATTCACTGTACACATTTTATTTACAGGTTTGTACACTGTCTTAATATGAATGGGACTGCTTTTCTATTTGAGTTGTACTTAAACCAAAGCAAAATTTAACCTAAGGAATACAAAGTGTTAAAATACAGCATAAGATACAAAAAAGAGGAATACTATTTCTAGTAAGGAATGTAATTCTGGTGTTAACATTTTTTAAAATCCACAATTATGTTCAGGAAATCACACAAACATATCACTGATTTGGCTTGAAATGCATGAAATTTGTAGCAAAGCTTTAATATTACAAAATAATTACCATAGAATGCACAAAATTATGTTTATTAAACCTTTTGTCATATTCCCAGATCCTTCACCAATGTTACATGAGCAAGAACCGAAATCAGAATATCACTAATGTTATCAGAAAAGGGAAACAAATAAATTAAATCTAGCAGCCATCAGCATCAATTACAGCAATGATCATGCTGTATAAAGATTTGCTAGAAAAATGTATGCATCATACTTTTCTTTCAAACCAGCAAAACATGTTACTGCATACAGTGAAAAGATGAAAAAGTAGTAGTTTATTCCCCTGTAAAAATGGCACTGTTTTCAGGACATTTTTAATATAATAGTTATTTTCTTAAGAAGCATCAGAGAATGGGTTAGGGAGACATGTATGGATTTGAGAAACAAAATGTTGCACTGAAATTCTTTGATTGGAAAAGGTTACCTTCAGCCAAAAAATGGGGTGAGGTGGGGTGGGGGTGAGGAAGAAAACAGAAGTACAAGACAAAGCAAATGAAAGTTTCACAAATTTAGCAACATTTAGATGGAAATCAGATTTAAATGCAGTCCACTCTGCTTTTATAGAGGCTTTGGTTCAGCTCCCAAATCTCGATTGCTTGACGCAGTCTCCTATGAAATACTCTGAAGGTGTCTTCTTAAACAACAAACCTATTTTTAGTGGTGGAACCACTTTTAGTAGCTGTGTCAGCATGGGACTGGTAACCAATCACTATCTTTTGAGGAAGTCCTAACCTTTCCTTGTATACTCTCCTGGGAAATTAAAAAGACAAAACATAAACTTAAGTAGCATTGTTCATATGAAAATATAGCATTAATTTTCATTGTTTAAACTCCAAATGCAATATACCAGATATTGTTACATTTCTTTTAAACAAAAGTCATTCCACTATTCACCCAGTATTTGACCTTATCATTTATCACAAACAGGTAACAGTCATATTAGCATATAATGAATTTTATGTGGTAAACATCCAGTACATATACAGGAGATCCTGTGCTAAACATCCCTTAAACCATGTTTTTCTGAAAGATGGGTTTCATTTTCATATAAACAAGCATTAACACTATTTGGTTTAGACTCTATTTGATTTGCAAAAGAAAGACAGAAGTCTTTAATATTTACAAGAATAATGGAACTAGATTGATAACCTTTCCTGTTTTGGAAATTAATAAATCATATAGGAACCAGCAGGGTTTTCTATATCTAAAGAACACTGCCTTCCTAACTTCCATCCTGATCTTACCACCACTTTCATTTTTAGGTCTGTCAGCTGAGCCTCAGTAAAAGAGCTCAAACTGATGAGAGAATTTAGTTAAAAAACCAAGTGACTAAACTATCTAAACTTGTAACTTTAATTTAATGTTTATGATTAATGTAAATGTAAACAATTTAATTAAAATCGTTTACTGACCAAATTACCTTGTAGCTCTTTCTGTCCCCTTGATTTGTATTCCTAACTGCAGTGTTCTGGACATCTGATTTACTTCTACATTTCCCATTTTGGCTATTTGCAAAAAATGTCAATAGAAGCTGCTGATATTATCTTACTGAGTTATGCATACGAATATTTTTTTATTTGGAAAATCAGCTCAAATTTTATATTCCTGTGCTCAATTCAATTGTTCAGGCAGGGCCAGCTGGCACCTCCTTATGATAAAATAGCCATGCCATGAATGAAAGGTGGGGTTTTTTTTTATTATTATTCAGTGCCAGTCATTTGGAATCAACTCATTTTAAAAAGTGCTAAAAATGGTTATTTTTAATGGGCCTTTGTGAAACTATAGTAAACATTTTTAATGCAGAATTCTATTTGATATGTATTAACAATTGATAAAGGCTACTCAGAACACTGAGGCTTGCTTATCTTAACTGTGATCTTATATTAGGTTGAAATGAGTAAATGCATTAATTTTTGATATTGTATTTAATTATTTTATACTGCATTTATATTGGCACATGAAAGATAAAGCTACTATCATTGCAACCAAGTGTGTTCATTATGGTTGTGACTTAATTCTCTTATGTAGATGGACCTTATAGTATATCAATATGTAAAAAATACTTGGAAAAACTCTTTTGCCATAAAATATAATACAGGCAATCCTCGACTTACGGCTACAATTGAGCCCAAAATTTATGTTGGTAAGGAAGACAGTTTAGTGAGCTTTGCCCCATTTTATGACTTTTCTTGCCACAGTTATTATATAAGTCACTGCAGTTGTTAAGTAACACAGTGGTTAAGTGAATCTGGCTTTCCCATTGATTTTGATTGTCAGAAGATCACAAAAGGTGATCACATGATCCCAGGACATGGCAACGGTCATAAATATGAATCTGCTGCTAAGTGGCTGAATTTTGATCACGTGACCCTGGGGATGCTGCAAGTTGCAAGTGTGAAAAACAGTAATTTTTTCAGCGCTGTTGTAATTTTGAACAGTCTCTAAATGACCTGTTGTAAGTTGAGGGCTACCTGTACCATTATTTGATTTGATTTTTATGCTGTCTTTATTTTTTATCAATTCAAAGCAGTGTATATATTTAATGCCCCCATTTCTTTTCCCCACAACTCTATGAGGCAAGTTGAGCTAAGAGTGTGACTAGTCCAAAGTAATTCAGCCGGCTTTCACGCCCAAAAGACCAGAATTCATAGTCTCCTGATTTCTAGCACAACATGTTAGCTGCTATACCAAACTGGCTTTATTTGCCATGTAACATTATTAGACACATTTGCTACTTCATGCTTCACCTTGAGAGTCCCCCAAAAGGTATGTATAATTTTCTGCTGCAAATTGTGAATTTGGTCAAATATAAACATATAATTATAACACATATAATTTTGATAGCAACCCTCCCAAAATGATTATTACACTTCCAGGATACTGGAAGCCTTTTTTAAATTAGGATTATACCCCAAATCCTGATGTATTGAAATAAATGAGCTTCCTAAATTATACAGTTGATGTTTCCTTTGAACACAACTTTATATCTGAATAAAAACAATAACTAACAAAAAATAAAAGCAAAACTTCTGAAACATCAGTATTTTCTAAAGTAACAATTCTGGAATTTCACATCAACTTACCCTATATGTGTAACAGCATCTCTGTTTTCACATTCAGTAGTCCATATTGCTATTTTATCCCCCTTGGTTCTAACATTAACAACAGCTCCACATACATCATCACTATAGTCATCAAAGGATTCTCCAATAAGGCACAGCAGCTACAAAATTGAAGATAACAACAAACTAAATTACAAAATACAACTGAATACTTACACAAAAAAATGTAAATTTCTACTGATTTCAGTGTACCATCAAGACAAGAATACTGAGAAAAAAATTCAAAGTTGAAAACTGCTACACAAAAAATCCTATTATAGCAGATGATAATTTTAACTCCCTAGAGATGGTTTCAGGACTATTTCAAGAATAGTACAAGAGGCATAGCCATCAAAATCCCCTTTCTTCCATCAAGAAAGATAACCCTTATAAAAAAAGTAAGTAAACTGGATTATTGATAAACACTAAAATCCATGGTAGAGCAAAGAATAATTCACAACTAGCCCCTGGATGTTAATTTAACACCAAGAGATTACCACTATCACTGACATAAAGACTTAAACCAGAGGGCCAAGACTATTTCTTTTTGCTTTGAATTTTACCCTAAACTTACTGATCCACAATTGGGACCAGAACTTCCATTGCTAAGTAATGTGGTTTGTAAAAGAAACATTGTGAGTGTACTGTTTAGGAACAGCAGTTTCAGTAGTCATAGTTGCAGTAGTTAGATGAGGACCTCATGCTTCTCTTACCCTGCCACACTAATTCCCCCCTCTTGCCTATATCTCCCCCTCCATCCCTTTTGGCACCTACACTCTGCCACCTATCCCTCCACCACTGCTCCCTTCTTCCTCCTGAAGGAAGCTTGCCAGGCCCGTTCAGAGAGGAGACAGCGGAGTAGTGAACTGCAGCACTGCAGCATTCTCTACTGCCAGGCAAGGAAGGAGAGTTGGCAATGTTCTGCAGGGCGAGGTGGATGCTGTGTGAGAGGTGCTATTTGGGGTGGCTGTAGAACTGGAGGAAGGGGATGAAAGTAGGCTTCCAGGAGGCACAGTGCACTTTGCAGCTTGTGTTGCAAGTGCTCCTGAAAAATCAGCCAGTGGCCTTCAGTGAGGGGTGGGGGAAAGCCCAGCACTGACAGATCCTACACACAGGCTCTGCTCACTCTCAGCCCAGCAGTCCTCCTGCAATGCTGGTGAAATTCATTTGGCGGGGGGGAAATGAACTACCTTGGGATAGACATGCAGAATACTCTAGTTAATCAGGAGAGTGGCACGCAATGGCAGTTAATCAAGTAGAGGTACACAAAACTCTTCCCAACCCCACTGCTTGTTTATCCACGTGGGAGCAACTAGTGGATAAATGTTTGAGTTAGGCATTGCAGAGAACAAAGCAGTTTATTCATCAAATACAAAATCTCTGCACCAGTCCTGCATCTTCTTTTGTGTTTTGTGTCTTTTCTTGTTTCTTCTAATAAAAACTCAGTCTTGTCTCCAAAAATAAAGCAAATAAGGGTTGAGCAATGAAATCTTGGAAAGGGCGAGCCCCATGGAGGGGAGAGTAGAAAAAAACTTAAGATATTCAAGATATCAAAAATGTAACAACCAATTTCTCCGCTCCATCATGCAGCTCACTTTTCCATTGGCAAGGATGGTCAAGGTATAGGTAGGCTTGTAAAAACAAAGGAATCCCCCCCCCCCAGCACATACAGCAGAGGAGGGCAGGGTGTGAATGTCTGCTTTTAAGCCTTTCTTGAGGCAAGGGGCCACCTTCTGCCTTGGCTGCTCATGCTTGAGCTCAGGGGCCCAACTGCCACTGCCAGGTTGCTGAAGGGCTACTGACCCCAGATGTCACGCAAGAGGAGCCTTACTTAGGTATTCCAGTGCAGGCAGCATGTGCAGCAGTGCCTAGTCCCAGCATACCAGTTTCCCAAGAGTGTTTGCAACATGAGTTGCAGATTATGTGTTATACCTCTGGGAAGCCCATATCGCTTCCCTTCTTCCAGTTCTGCTGCCATCCGGAACATCCCCTTCCACACTGCCTCGACCTTTTCCCAGCGAACTGCCACTGGCTCTCTTGCCTCACTGCAGTCTCACTGCTTTCTCCCCAGCTAGGCCCAGAAGATTCCTTTAGGTAGATGAGGCTCTGTCATACACACTGTACTCATCTTAGGGCTGCATGAATGGGACAGAATTTTGTCTGCAATAGCCATAACTTTGAGGACCGGTCATAAGTCCACTTTTTCAGCAGCTGTAACTTTGAAAGGTTGCTGAATGAATAATCATAAATTGAGGAACTATCTGTAATTGACTTACTCCATCACAGCTTCTAGATACCTATTTGGAAAACAGACAGTTTTGGAAGGTCAGTTACTGATACGGAAAGCTGGGTAATATAAGTATGCTAATGACACCCAATGTCATAATTCCAAATGTGCACGCCTGGTATATGGAAAGCATTATATCATCTTCATTAAAGAACATTCTCAGGCAAAAAAAATGAATCACTAAAAGGTCTAGTATTCGATGTATTAAAGGCTACCAATCAAAATGGTGCAATCCTGTTTCATATCTAAAGAATTGAAAACTACATAAAATATTGTTTATTTCCAATCATCAAAGCTACAAATGCCAATCTCAAAGGAAGATGGGAAGTAAAGCTCAAGTGCATTGAAAATTGTAATCCGGAAACCTTTATATCAACAGTATTTATTTGGGGGTGCATAGGCAGCCATGCTTGCTATGCCAGAGTGTACTATAAAAACTATTCATGGATGACCTAACATTGACTAATTCGCCTGAATTGAAGATAATTTTACCCAAAGTGAATGAATAATCGCCTCCTTTAAAAAAGGAGAAACATTTCCTTTTTGAATGATGCACTTATTTTCCAAAGTTCTATTCACTTGCCAGAAGTTCCTTGAACTTAAATATGCAATGGCCTTCATAAATCTAAGAATAGTGTCAATATATTCAAGAAAAACTATGTTAAAATAATTTGACTAATTGCAAGGAACAGGTGATAGACATCTATGGTCCTAACCGTAACAAAGATGTCAGACTGATTTGAATGACTGTACCAATGGGCTACACATCATCCACTGTAGAATTTATCTCAGACAACACTCTAATGCCACCCAGGCAAAGCTGTCACCAATTTGATATGATGGTAACAAATATTTGTTACTTTTCCAAAATAAAGCAATTTTTGAAAAGAAATAGGAGTTGGGACTCTCTGTCTAGATCACAGGCCGGCAACCTGCGGCTCCGGAGCCGCATGCGGCTCTTTGAGCCTTCCCCGGTGGCTCCCAGCCTCCTCTGCCTTTGCAGAGAGAGACAGAGACAGAGAGAGGCAATTGCGCTTCCCTGATTCTCTCTCTCTCTGTTTGTGTTTTTTTGTCTCTGTGTGTGTGTAAAAGAGAGTGCACTCACAGTGTTCTCCGAGGAGCTGAAAAGCTTACTGGGCAGAGCTCCTCCCTTTGCTGCGTCTCTGCAGGAAGCAGGAAGCAGGAAGGGCAGGAGAAAGCTAGCTAGCCCAGCTAGGCTGACTCAGGAATTCTGGGAGTTGAAGTCCATGAGTCATAAAAGAGACGAGGTTGCTTACCCCTGAGCTTGTTGGACAACAGCTTGAAGCTTGCCAGGTGAGCAGCAGATAGGAGGGGGGGGGGAGAGAGGGGGGGGAGAGAGAGAGAGAGAGAGGAAAGAGAGAGAGAAAGAAAGAGTGGGGGAAGAGGAGTGGCAGACCAAGGGCAGATAGAGAGGGAGGGAGAGGGAGAGGGAGAGACAGAGAGAGAGAGAGAGACCCTTTTGACATCTAAAATGAAGATAACACTGCATATATCCTTTTTTAACCTGTATGTGTATGTGTGTGTGTGTATATATATACACACACATACATACATACATATACATACACACACACACACACCTATAATAAAGGTAAAAAAGGATATATGCAGTGTTATCTTCATTTTATATATCAAAAGGGTTTTGCGGCTCCCAGTGTTTTGTTTTTGGTGGGAAATGGGTCCAAGTGGCTCTTTAAGTGTTTTGGGTTGCCTACCCCTGGTCTAGATAATAGAATATCTCCCTGAAAACTGAACAAAATGAGACCAAATTTGTTGGGGAAAGACAGAAAGAGCGAGGTTAGAAAATGGGCTGGATCTGGCTGAGGCAGTAGCACTTCCATCATCCCTAAAACATCCAATGTTTTCTTAAAGAAGAGGTAATTAGACAACAATTCAGAAATAGTGGTCTTATGTTTCCCAGCACGTAAATGCAGATAAAAAACCAGAATGTCTAGTTCTCTAACACTGAATAAAATACTGTCAATGGTTGCTATTGATAAAAGGATTAGAAATAATTGTAATGTCCTGCTTGCTTCAGGATCACTCTCTGAAAACATATTAGGGCAGGACTAAATTTGGCACTTGGGGTAGGGTGAGAAGGGGCGTTGGTCTTACCTGAACGCTTTTTCTCAGTACGGAGATGGATAATCCACGGATGGGTTTTCTCTGTCTGCCTGCTCTTGAGACCAAGTAGCCAAAGCTTGACACGCCCCCACTTCCTGTGGAGTCCATTCTTAACGAGGGCGAATTGGCTGATGATTGACGAGGTATTGGCTCTCAGCTCCCTACTAGCGGCCTGCTGGCCTTGGGGTGGGTGTGGATTATCCATCTCCGTACTGAGAAAAGGCGTTCAGGTAAGACCAACGCCCCTTCTCCAGTACAGGAGATGGATAATCCACGGATGGGACGTACCAAAGCCTCACTGTCCCAAGGGGTGGGAAACAGATAAGGCCGGTAGATTGATCTCTGAGACAACTTGCTGGAGGACCCTCCTACCAAAGGAGGTGTCCGCCGATGCAAAGCGGTCTATCTTGTAGTGTCGTATAAACGGGGAAGGCGAGGACCATGTCGCGGCCCTGCAAACTTCCTTGATTGACGCCTGGGTAGCCCATGCCGCCGAAGTTGCAGCGCTTCGGGTGGAATGGGCTGTGAGATGACTTGGGGGCGGCAGGGATGATACATTGTAAGCTTCTGCGATACAGCTTCGGATCCACCTTCCAATGGTGCCCGCGGAAACATTCCGCCCCAAGGTGCCCGCTTGGAAGGACACAAATAGGGCCTCCGATTTGCGGAAGGGTTCTGTACGTTTTATAT